GTGACAAGTGACAATGTGACTTTGCTTCCAGGAATTCGTGTGGTGATGCTAGATGTTGATCTGTCAGGTGTTTGGGCAAGATAGATCGATATACCCTTTGACTCACTAACATGGAAGTGGAAAATGGTCCCTTGGAAGACTACTTTCCTTTACAAACAGGGTGTGCCATCCACTTGCACCATGTAACGTGTTCGTCGTGTAGGGGGTGTTTCTTATATCCGAATTCATCCGCCACAGAGGACCGACACGTCAAGCTGTTCCGAGTTTTTGGGTTGATGGAGGTTCCTGTTCGTTTGCTTCGTCAGGAAACTCCCAGATGACCAGCGAGTGGCAGAAACTCAGCTCCCCCCCAACTTCGGAGCCACATGCAACGCCGGAAATTCCACCATGTGAGGGTTGGGCTTCGGATGGCATGGTCTTCAGCCACAGGTCGATTCAAGGCTCCATGTGGTCCCTCTGCTTGGGGGGGGAACTGTGTGTCTCCGCGTCTCGAGATACGCGCCAGATGCGTAGCACCTGCCGGAGGTGCCTCCACATGACCTACAGAGAAAAAATCGGACAAGTGGATAACCTTAAACCCTTTTTGGGGGATTGGATTCTCCACAGAATAGGCACAGATGCGTTCCAGGTTGACTCCTTTCTTGCAGAAACTGGGGGACACTGAGGGAGTCAGCTGCTGGTCCCTCACCTCCTGGCCCTGGTGGATGCGTGTGAAGTTGTTAGGGCTGCTGTGAAACTCAAGTCCACTGGATGAAGTTGTCATGGTTTTGGCTGACCACATGTGACAACAAGACCTCCAAAAGATCCAGAATCTTGCCGTGCCAAAAGCAGGGCCACTCGAATCGAACGTGTTCACAGTGTTCAAAGTCCCTAGGTTTGTTCCTGCAAACATCCGCTGTCTTTGGTTTGTCTCGAGAAAGCAGGCTGTCCCTGGTACACGGATGCACCAGCACATATACCATGCCATAAGAAACTTTTTCATAGGTGGACTGTCCCACTTGAGTATGGTAAGGTATGTACCAACACGCTCTGATTGCTCGCCCAGGTTGCTGTTGAACATGCTCATTGGTGTGATGTGCGAGGTGGTCAGTGGCGTGAGCCAGACGGAACGCCAGGCCATCGCGGAGGCCTTCGTGCGAGAGAAGGCCACCAGTGGGCGGAGAGGGGTATGGCTGAATGATGGTTGATATATTTAAAGTTTTTGGATTGTAACATATTGTAACAACTCTTCAGATGCGGGATATGTTTCATCAAGAGTGTACCAGCAACTGGCAGAATGATTCATTGAATGATTGGAAGACGACGTACCCAGGGACAGAAAAAGAGGTGTGAATGATCGGAGAACCCACCTGGGGAAGAACGTTAAGATGGGGTTCCAGTTTGATTCTTATGATCTATATGTACTTGTTTGCGTTTTATTGAACATATTGCTCAGCCCCGTTATTCTGAACAAGATGCCCTTCAAGTTTCTTCATGACGAGTTGCTGTATGCCTTGCGGCACCAAGTTACGTCTGAAATTGAACGTATCATCCATGGTAAAAACGGTTAAATGAACATATATAATATCTAACATCACGTATCCAGGCTCGGAACTGAACGTTTCTTTGAAATGGAACATATCATATATCCATATAATTCATAACAACATGTTGTGTCCCGAGGTCCCGACCTCATGAGGGGGTGGGTCGTCCTTCCATCGCTGGGAGGTGCAGCAAATCATTCAAGACCGCCATGGGGTTCGACAAATCCCAAGCATTAGCCGGCGTGTGCTGATTGACGCTTGGCAGCAAGCAGGGTTCGCAGCAAGCACCATCCAGGTGGAGACGAACGCAGCTGAGACTAGGCCATGGTAGGCCCAGAAGAAAAGAGTGTTAAGCTACATGCGTGTGATGAGTGCCAGTTTACAATATATATATATATATACATGATATATGATATGTTTACATATAGTTTGTCATAATTGTATGAACCGATGCATCTATGTGGTGTGTGTGGAAAAAGAAATGCTTGCTCAAGTTTGGGGAATCGTGTGCTGGCTAGTTAGGCCAACCAAAAAGTCATTCGGAATCTAGCATACAGGATTTCGGTTTGCCATGGTCTTGTAGGTTGGCTAGGTGGGCGTGACGCAGGCGCTGGCATCGTTACGTTGGCCGCGACTGGCCTTGTCGAGCAAAAAGAGCCGGGCGCACAACTGCTTTCATTTTGGGGACATAACTGAACAGTAGAAACTTCATGAATGCTTGATGAATGCTGTTCATCCCTTGGCTTCTGTCCACAGCAGTCCAAGAATACCAATAAGTCGGTATAGACAAGTTGATACGTATACTATACAATAGAAATCAATAGAATGTCTGAATGTCATTGTCAACTACGACCCCCCAGCAGTGGCTCTTTGTTGACCTTCTTGACACGTGAACCATGCGAAGAACCGGACGTGAGGAACTTTTTTTTTCAGAAGCTGCCTTGCTGACAGCAAGGGGGGGCAGCAAGGGGGTGCCCAGTGTTCGTTGTAGAATCGAGTCCCGAGCCTTCCAAAGCCTATTTCTAACCAGGCACCTCCTATCTTCATTGTGGGCCTGAACCGAATGCATAGCGGCACATGGCATTCCCATATAGTACTATACAGGTACTCTTGCTTGGGTACTCATTCAGTACATGGTTGACATTGCCGGGATTCGAGCAATTTCCTCCCCCAGATCTTGAGATTGTTTCCCTTTTTTCGGTCATTAAGATAGAAGGCCTGGTACAAAAAGTCCTCATGCTCCAGACACATACATTTTGTGGGGCAAAGTCAGCAACAGCCAAGGATATGTTGCACGACCGCTTCTTGTCTGGGTTTCAGAAGCATTCATTGTTCTTGGCAGCGGGTATTTGAAGATGTGGACCATCATGGACCATGTCATAATCAGGATTTGTGGAATGAATAAGTAAGAAAATCCCTGTGCGTTACGGCAAAATCCGATGGTTTGTGGTCACTGAGACTGATCAGATCGTATGCTGACGTCATAAGGGTATTTGGGGTCCGCTTTAGGCAGAGGGTGATATTCGATCGCATCGACTACAGTGACTACAGCTGGAACCTTCCGCGAATTGGAGAAAATCTTGGCACGGCGAAGCCAAGAACAAAGGCTGAATTACGCTACAATGAGCAACTGACTATTTTCAGGAGAATCATGAGATGTTGATCTTGACCGATCATGTTTTTCTTTAGAAATTAAGACTTTGTTAATACTGTTTGCTTTGCTGGGAAGACTGGCCTTCCGTCCGAAGTCATTCCGCTGCCTCGTGGGTAGAGAAACAAAGATCAGAAGGCCAACCTATTCGCTAAGAAGGCCGTGTTAGGGTCGCTTTCCAGTCAGTAGCTGTGTCCTTCGAATGATTCGTCCATGTGAACATAGCTTTTGTATGCCTTTGTACTATTGTACTCACAGCTCTAGTGTACGAGCAGGCCCAATGCTCAGCCAACCTTAGTCCTGGTGGTGTAGGATTTGGGTAGTGATTTGGGCGTGTATTAGAATAGACACATCATGACATTTCTACTTAATAAGCGCTTCCAATGCGTGTCCAATGGCAAACTATAAGCAGTGTAGGGTTGTCATGGGTTATCCAGCCAGGTAACCCCGAACGGAAGCAGCTGGTATGTGGCCAAAGACATCATCTTTTCCGCAAGCCTCTTGTTTCCTTCAGGTAATGCCACCACTTTGCTGAACGAGGCAAACTCGGCGAGTGGTTTCGTACGTTGTGAAGCGTACGGATCGTTGGTTTCGCGGGAGTCGTAGGTTCGGGGCCAAGCATGGTAGCAGGGATGGTGATTGGGTTTAACATGGTTTAAACTGCAAATTGCATCGACAAATTGATATAAATGGCTCCCCATCAAACCAGGAAGAACAAGACGTTTGCAGCCTAAACAAGCGACGAAGGCAGCGAAACATGGCATGAAGTGAACTTGCGACTCCGCACCTCTTCCCCATGGATGTCTTAAAGTCGGAATCATTTGGCCTGTCACCCCCCAAAAAATGCTTTGCTTGTCAAGACATGGACTTTGCATTCTTACTTTAAAAAATCCTGGATCCAGGTCTTGGACCATTTGTACGGCGGATATGTGCAAGGGCTGATAAGGATCCGTTTGAGCCATTTCACACGTCCAGTGCACCTCCCCAACTGCCAAAGAAGAGTTCTAAATCATCCCGCTTCGTTGGCTGCGCATGGCTGCGCATGGCTGCGCACCGCGTCAGGCGGGTGTGGATGTGGTTGGCCTAGCCACTGGGCCACAGCTGTCGGTTCGTTTCACGACTGTCGGTCATGGCATTGATTTCCGACCGATGCACCGATGACCGGTGAACCGATGGACCCGGAGGACCCCGCACAGACCGAACAGCGCAACGGCCATCCGTTCCCAGCGAAACCGACGAAACCGGCCTTTGCGCGCAGACGGAAGCACCAAAAGAGACCAAAAGACGGCGTGCAGAATCCCTAGGTGATGGTTGTTTTCTTTTTTTTTCAACACTTACTTACTTGGGGATGATTGGACCCTCTGACTCATATTTTTCAAGTGGGTTGAAAACACCAACCAGATCCATATTCCGGAGGACGTTTGGGGAAATGAAGAACGTGCTAAGGTGGACGTGGCCGACTACATCTTCCAAAGCGACCACTCGGAAGAGGTGGAAAAGGAGCGCTGTCGAACAAAACAATCGGTTCTCGCCTCGGCTTGCGGGCAGCGCTCGGGTCAGAAGCGGCTGCAAACGGGTCGGTTTTCGAGAAAGAACTCTTGGAGGGTCTGTGAAGGGTTTGTTCGGAATCTGTGACTGGGGCATACCGGGGCACTTTGTTGTCGACTTTGCATGGCGCGCGTGGAGGCAAACTAGGGGACTTGAAGCCACTTGAGTCCACTTGAGCGTAAACATCTTAAGCCCCAATTACATGTACTGAGGGAAGAAAGAGTTTGGCCTTTTCCATGGTTCCACCTGGACCAAGCCAACTCTGACTAACCAGGTCTCTGAACCGACCGGTGGGTTGCGGGGACTGGAACTCGACTGGCCCCAAAAAGTGCCTTCGCTGCAAATTCGGTTGTTGGTCTCGTTGGGTCTGCGACATCAACAGAGCCATTTCTGTCGCAGCCGTTGGGTGCACAGCGGCTTCCAGAATGAAGTGGCCGGCGCGGCTCTTCGTGGTGTGCCTTTTTCCGCTCCATGCGCTGAAGTTGCAATCCACAAGCCGTGCAAGCCGAGCACCTTGGGATCATTTATGATCATGTGAAGCAGTGTCACATCCATGTCAGTCTCCTTGGTTTACAAGCAAAACAGGTTGTGGATACTCAAGTTGTAGGTGTTGTAGCAGTGGTGGTAATTCTCCAGTGCCGGAGATCTCAACCAACAGTTGTTTGACTATCCCTGGAACGTGAGTTAAAGGAATTCTGAAATGCCTGAAACAAATGTGTTTGTCGGCATGATTTGGATGCATCACATTTGAGGGGTTGCTACTATCTATGGGTCAAAACAAACACAAACATGTTCAATGAAAAACCCAAACACCAGCCACGCCATGTTTCGCGTTCTCAGGTACAAAACTGCCACATTTTCACCTTGTGGAACTACTCACGACCAGTTCCAGCCACTTGATCCGCATCTCGACCTCCGCCTTCCTCCCTCCTCCGGTCGATGGTCGGACGTCCCTTGCGTCGGAGGGATCAAGGTCAAACAACCCGATCAAACGAACAAAGTCAAAGGTCGTGACCCTTCCAATGGGAAGAATAGCCTCCAGGTAACCATCCAAAGGAAGGTGCTTCGCAAACCTGCAAGAGGAGTGGTTTTCCCACGTTTTTTCCTCTGAACAAATGGACAAAAGATCACAAAAGCATAGTTAGACACGATTCATTCATCATTCATCCATGTCGGATCAGCTTGGCCGTGTTGCTGGATTATCCAATTCCATGGTTCATCCAACTTCTGACTCCACCATCTGGAGTCATCCGAGGAAAAGAAACTATAGAGTAGGCGTTGGAACTGGCATACCGATTAAGATTAAGATCCCAGTGGCAGTTGGTTTTAAACACAAATGCTCGTTCCAGATTCTATAATATAAACTCTTTGAGGAGCTGCTTCCGAGTGACCCCTCCACCCCCCATTAAATCGCCTTCCAAGAACCGCTGGCGTCGTCCTTCCTCTTCTCCAGAACCCGAAGTAACTTCACGTCCTTCGTCCGTCCCCGTCGGGATTCGAACGACCGTAACTCACCCACCAACCATCACGAACCCAATGAGAAGCGAGTAGCGACGAGGAACGACTCGAACGCTCCGCGGAGTCAGTGAGGAGTACATCCACGAACGACTGTGCTTGGTGCTTGGTGTCGGGGGAAATAGAGCGCTCTGCATCCGCGGCAATCTGAGGAGTACATCCACTTGAACCTGCAATCCTGGCAGTTGGCCTCCAAGGGACGCTGTGGAGCACCGGTCTTGGCATCTGGGACGAGAGAATGAGACGGACGACGGAGGCGGAGAGACGTGATGTACGGTCACGTGTACCGAAGTACGCCCAGCTTTTCAGAAGGATTGAGATCATCTAGAAAAGAAAATGGATGAAAATGGTTCAAAGTTTTTTTCAAACTATGAAGTCCAGAGTTCAAAACTTGGAGAACAGGTATAGTTAATGCCTGGGTGGGGGGTTGAAATGGTTTGAAACAAACTACCCCCTACCCTGAACCGCCCTGACTCCTACTCTTACACGACCGGTGAGTTTCTCCATGTTTTCCAGATTGCTAGGAGATGCCTGGCAGCCAATGAGCATGGGGTTGCCACGTTCCCCTCAAACGGGAATGAGCTTAGCAGAAAAGAACTTGAAGTGGTGTTGGTGAAAGCTGTTGGTAGTTTTGCTGGACTTTGCTCTATCCTTGTCCTTGTGATGGCCACCCTGTGTGTTTGCAGTTCCTGATCCCGGAATGGCGACAGCTAAGTCCACCAGTGGACTGGCGCTCGGGCAGGGTCACAGAATTAAATAGTATATGTCTATATATAATATATATGTCTAAACTCTAAACCATTCTAAACCCTGCTCATTTACTGTATTTTCAGAGTAGATGGCGAAGATGTCCTTCAGATGGGGGTCCATACAAAGCACCAAACTTGGGGGTATATAATTTGTGCCATCGAACCTTTGAAACCACCGTACTGTGATTTGTTAGTAGAGACGCAACACATATACCTTTGGTCTTGTTCCCCGTCGAATGCCCAGAGTTGACCAGTTTCCCATCGTATCCCGTATTCAAAAACAAAAACAAGTTCGACCATGTCAAAAAGGAACATAAATTGTGTTTGCTGGGATCTTCAATGTGAGAGCCAAGATATGCTCTCATCATCATGTTTTGCTGAAAACAGGAGTTGCAACATCGGTCCGTTGACCATGACGCTCCCCCAGTGATCAGGAAGATATGTGCCGGATGGTTTGCGTATCTATCGATCTATCGATCATCGATCCTATGCCGAGGTGAATCGAAGCAATGTGAGACAATGGATCCCAGATGCACCTGAGGAGCCTCTTTTCAACGGTCGGAAGGCGGCCGGTGTGGTAGGCGGAGGGACCCCGAAGCTCGTGTCCCCGGACCTGTGGGGGTGACCTGAATCCCATCCGGATGGAGCGTCGTGAAGAAACAGCAGGGATTTGGTCATCAAATGTGAAGAAAAATCGGGGATTTGGTAGATGAAGCACCAGGTGGTTCTTGATGTTCTCGAACCCATCGAAAGGGTTTTCTAGGATGTAAAAGCTTCATCCACGACTCGATGGCCTTGTGTCCTTGAGCTATACCTGAGGGCAATGTTGAAAACAGAACAGTGTCAGAGGCAGCAACAGATTTGTGTTCATGTCCTGCTACGTTGCAAGAATAACAGTAAGAGTTAAGATCAGTTAACTATGTTGCTTTACTTTCTGTGACTATGAATGTGGATGGGGTGCTGCTGCTACTGGGGATGGGTCATAACACTGCTAGTTTGACCTCCTGTTTTTGCATTTTGTGTACAGTGCATGTTCTGTAGATACTCTACCCAACTCCCCAGTACCCACCAAGAGGTGAAGGACTCGGGGAAGCGCAGACATTGTAGCGCAAGTGACGTCGGTAGGTCAACCAAGGTGTCCCGATGCCATGACCCACAGCCATGTTTCTTGGTATTGATGTCCTGAGCCAGGCAACTCAAAACCACATGAGAAGGGCTCAGAGGGCTCGTAAGAGGGCCCAAACGGCTCGGAGGCCTCGTACCGCACTCTACTTCCAGTAACTCTTCTGCTTGGGCGTTGGACGCACCTCGTTGACTTGGAATACAAGGATCTACTCCATGTCCATTGACCGAAGAAAAACACCTTAGTGAAGCCAACGCAGTTGGTCTCACCTCTTCGGCACCTTTGAAGGGAGGAAAGGACGCGTTTCACCGTGGCGAAACCGGGGAGATCGAGGAGCTCTTCCGAATCCCCTATGAAGCTGCTGAGTCGGATGCCATCCGTTATGCCTTGATCTATCACAACGGAGGCGTGGGGTCCGGTCTTGGGCCGCACGCGCACGCGCGTGGGGTCCGGCTTGGGTGGCACGAGGTGTGACCGGAATGACCAGCGAAACGTCACTGGAAGGTTTTAAAACAATTTGGAGGTATGATGGATTTGAATGGACTTGACATGGTTTGACTGAGGTTGCGGATTACTAGACATATCATATAATCATGATAGTAAGCTACTTTATACATATAATTATACATACCAAGCAAGAACAGTGCCTTTGAAGCGATCTTGCCTTGCGCCAGCGTTTAAATTCCTCACATTGAAGCTGAATGTTAGTCCGATTCAAGATTGGTTGCTAAGATAGGCGACAATGACTCCATGTTATCGTGACCTTTCATGATACATGTGCATACATGTGCAGCTTTGCAGCGTCTGCGTGTATTGCTTGTATGGACACAACAAGCAGAGGATAGCAAAAACGAAAGCTAATTGACATTAATTGACCATGCATATACTATAATGAACTGTTTCTCGCAGTCTTGCATACGTGTGGAAGGTACCAGGTAGTTATGAGTTGAAGCAGAATCAGTGGAATGTCCCAGCAAATTGAAAGATATGAATCCATCACCGTGTGGCTGTGCATATCGTGCATTCAGAATGTGGGAAGACACCTGTGCGAAGCCACCCTAAGTCGATGAAAAACCTCTACCGTGGGAGACACCTCGGTTGATCAGTGAAATGAACCGAATAGACTACAGCCAGGACGTCAAGCTACCAGGGTGTGGGCTTCGGGTAGGGTATCCAGCAGCCAAGTAAAGCATTCCTAGCTCCAGGCTCGGTACAAACCTTCGAGGCCTGTGTAGAAACCCGCTTCTTGAACACAAACATTTATATATTAATTAATATCAGGATGTTCGAAGACTTGCATCTAGGCGAAGGCATCTAGGCGAGTACGAGATTGGGAGGGGATGGAGATGAACATGGTTTGGGCGCTCATCATGTCCAACGGACCCATTGGACTTGGTTTTAAAAATATGTGAACTCCGCAAAACAGATCACTTGGTCAAGTCTTCCTCCCTCAAATTCAACTCCACCCCCTTGTGCACCTGTTCCGGACAAGTTGACCCAAGACTCCTCCAGAAACAATGAGGAAATTCCATGGAGTAGGTGAAGAGTCATGCACTTCGAGTGATTTTAAATATTCTTCCTCCTCCCAACCATACCCAACCTCAGACTGGAATGCAATGCCGACTCCTGGTTGGGCCGAGCACCGTAGCGGCCGAGTACTCGGAAAATTTTTTAAAAAAAAAGCAAAAACGTTCCAGAGAGCTGGTGGAGAATGAGAGATCGCTGAATGACTGAGAAAGACTCTCCGGGCGGGTTCAATGGTGAAACAAACCCTCACCCAGACACGACCGGTGACTGCCATAGACTGCCGAGAAACGGCCAGGGGTCGTAAAAACAAAGAAGGGTTCGGTGGTCAATGGGGCGGCAGATGTGTTCCAGTCCTATGGAGTGTCATGAAGTCATAGAGCGACCAGGCCGCGTTTGTGACGTCGCGTGCCACGTGCGGACGTCGATGTCGGTCCAGGCATCTACATGGATACCGACTTCCTGGCCATCGACATGTCGTCCATCATCGAGCCTGGCCGGAGGGGGGAACAGGGGACCTGGCAAACATCGGCGTGGATGTCAAGAAGCATGTGAAGATCCGGTTCATGTTCGGGGTGTAGATTGGGGTGCTCTACAAAGCCTAAACGAAGTGCAAAGATTTGTGAACTCTTCGATGGTGTCACTTAAAGGATCTTCAAGGGTTTGTTTCTCTGAATGATGGCCTAGGCAACAACCTTGATGCTCCTTGCAGTTCTTTTCCAAAGCCAAGTCAAGATAAGTCAAGATATGCGTCCTTTCACTTCAATGCCTCTTCTTGAAGCGCTTTGAGGGCAACCCACAGACCATTCAATGTCAATGCCTTCGTGCAGTACAGAAGGAGCAAGTCTCTATGAGACAAAGATTGAACAACTGCCAACAGCCTGAATGCTATGGCAGTGCATGGGTTTGCGGTATTGGCACCTCATTATTCCTGAACCCACCGGCGGCCTATGGTCATGCTCCTCCTAAGGGGTATTTGTGTTTACTGGCTGAAAGCATTGGTACTGGTTTGCTCACGGTGACTTTTATCGATGTTTCCTATGGGATTCCATGCCACCTCTTCTGGGAAATAGATCACCCAAAGGCTCATTGGACCCTCAGTTCGCTAGGGTTTTGACCCTCACAGCCAGGGTTTTGGACCTCAAACATGTAGCAGTTGGAGGGTCCGGGGTCGCCTCTGGGCATGAAGTATGTTTTTCCCGGTTCATTCCCGGGGTCTTCGATCTGTGGGACGGTCGGATGATGGGGAGTGAAACCCACATGCTGGGCTCGGGCTCCAAACAGCTTGACCTTAAGTGGATGTGATCAGCCCGAGCCGTGGCAGTTTCGATTTTGATTCACAACTGAGTCGTGTCGCAGTTTTTGGGCTTTGGCTGCAGAGATTCACCGTCTTGAATTCTTGCTCTGGGGGCCTTTCGTCGTGCACCATGGATCGGGTCGCCCGGTTTCGCCCCGGGCTGTCTCCGTTCTCGAAGGATCGTATCTCCGATCACGACATCATTGGGTATACTGCAGAAGCTCAGAACTTCACCCACGGGCAGTTTAGTTCCAACTTCCTGGCGGGGAAGAAGGGCAGCGTGGTCATGGGAGCGATTTGGAAGGCTCAAAAAGAGTTCCCTGGCCGGCGCACTTCGGTCTAACCCGTGCGTTTGGTCCTGTGCTGGGCTAAATTAATGGACAACATGTGGCAGAATCGATTCAGTAATTCATCCTCAAAGTCATACAATCGAACTCATGACATATGATTTTGCTGCTATGGGGCAGAACTGAGAGACCACCGAAAATGACCACCGGGCTCCAGGGTCCACCGGGCTCCACAGCAAATATCGTTGAAGGGTTTTGGATGACGATGGGATCGGCCAGAGCCACTTGACGTTCGGTTCCAGTGTGACGATTGGGCTCCAGTGTGAGGATTGGGCTCCAGGCAACGCCCCAACAAAAGAAGTGGTCAAAACGATGATACCGGCTATGTCGTTTTCAGGCTATGGGAAGCAGGCTCTCTAAGCCCAACGACAAAGGCCTCATGTTTGTGGGGTTGGCCTGACTCTCTGTGATGGCCGGGGGGTGGTCCTTGGTTGAAGACGGACGGTCCTCCTGTCGGCAGGTTGGCTGGTTTCACAGAGAGAGAGAGAGAGAGCAAAGCAACGAGGCCATAATATTAAGTCATTCCCGAGAGACGCTTGCGAGTCATTCATAGCGCATTTGACCGTGGGAAGAAGACTTTTGGTCGTTGAGTGATGGAACGCCCTACGAACAGATTCTATATTATAGCGCATCATATTGGCACGGCCAATGTATGATGAACATGTTGTAGCATGTTTTACCTTCTTTAGACTTTCATTCCCATTTGTCAACCAAAGCAGCAAGAATATATAGGATTTCTTCCTGGTCAATTGGGAAAGATCAATTGTGGATATGTGCCAACACTGGAATACTTAGCCAATCTTCGCTACGCCACCGATCAGTCGGCTTTTGTTTGTCCATGCAGGGGTCAAGAGACGTCAACCGGAAGCACTTTGCTTGCACCCGCCTGCGCGCAGTCTCCATGCGTGCGATTCCGCGTAAGCGCACAGTTAAGCGCACATCCAAGGCGCATGCAGAAGCACTGTCCTGCAGAGATGGAACCAAAGTCTGGAATGTGCTGCTGCTGGGCTGGGTTTTTGCAGAGACACACCGCTTTAAAAGGTCTCTTACGAACGCCTCTCTTGACCAGACCTGATCGCTTCAAGACAAGGCATGCGATGGTTCAAAGGAAACAGACATAATTAGCTCAATCTTCAAAAGTGGTGTGAATCAGGCTAATTTACAGGCCGGTCCCTAAGTCGTTTCATGCGGTTTCATGTAGATCACCCCATCTTTGGTGGAGGTTTGATGTGTATCCCTTCTGCTCTGAGCCACCCGGACCGGGCTTCCCGCCACCTTCACCGAGGCTACGACGACCCGCAGCGCGCGTGCTCCGTGCGCTGGGCGGGGCTCGGAGAGGGGATCTCGCACCCGGCGCTGCGAGCACTGATGAAGAGCCACCCGGCGCTGCGGCGCTGCGTGGGTCGAGGGGATTCGACCGGTCTTTTTTTTAGGCTGAAAACTGCACCGGGTGGGCGGAGAGGGCGAAGAGATGGAGTTGAGGACCGTGTTGTAATTGGTAGGTGTTGATCTTTTGAGGGGTATTTGTATAATTACGGTGACTGTATGTGACTGCAACATCCCTACCCGCTTAGGTCCACTTCTGGGGGGGGGACCTAGAAAAATGTAACTTACAATTTCCGGGGGACCCCATAAATGTATGTTGACCCCCCCCTCGTTTTGGGCCCTACTTATTCAAGTAGAGGCCATATTCATGGTCCCCCCCCTCCCAGATTTTTGCTGTGTCTGGGTATGTCCCTGCGTGCATGTTCCTGGGAATTCTCCAGGAAATGAGGTGGTGGCTGGTGTGTGTCAGTTAGAAATTTTAGGGGTGCTGGAGAAAATGCAACTTACCACGTCCCACGTCCCACGTCCTAACAAACCCAAAAAATGTAAGCTACATTTGTTTAGGATATGAAAAACACATGTAGCTAACATTTTTTTAGCACTTACAGGAAACATATATGCTTATATACATTTTTTAGGTTCACTTTGCATACCCCCCCCCCGGGACAATGTAACTTACATTTTTTTAGGTCCCCCCCTATTAATATGTAGGGATACTGTAACATTATATAACTACCAGCACCCTCCAAGAGGAGTCTATATATAAATAGACTCTTGGAGGTTAAGGGGTCTCCAAAATCCTGGCATATTAATGTTGAACTTGTAGCCGCATCCAAGTTTGAGCATGACTGCCAATGACTGCCCCCCAAAAAAGAAGAACAGCATCGACATCAAGAAGAGTCGGCCTCACATTTGTGAAGAGCGGATTTTGTTGAAGTGATGTGATGTGTCCTTCCACTTAAGCACAAAAGGGTGACGGTAGACTTCGTGATCATGGGTGCCACTCTCATGCCAGGCCAAGGTAACACTTACTCTGCAAGCGAGTGAGGTATGAACTCATGGAGCCCAAATGATCTGGTGCTTTGCCTATAGAAAGGTTGGGCATTTTGTAAATCGAAAACCGGGTTCTTCAGGCAAGACGTCCTTCAAGAGCTTCATCTTCTCGGGGCATGAGAGCTTTGTGCCCGATGGCCTGGTCGAAGTACTGAAGAAGAAGATGAGCAAAAGCGAAGGGCTCAAATACTGGATCCCCGGCCGACAGATTGCCTGGAAGCCATCATAACAAATCATGACTTCCCCAAACAGCCGGTATGTTGGTAGAAGAATTAATGAAGACTCTTACCTAGACCCGCCACAGGTGACAAAGAACTGCCCGCAGTTGAGCAGGCAATTTTTTCAGTAGGCATGAAACATTTATCAATGATTTCATACGATCATCGCCCGAGTGCGCGCGTGTTCCTTATTTGAAGCTTGGCCTCGCTACAAGCGCCGCTTTCTCGAAACGGCGTTCACATTTAGCTCCTGGTGGGAACAACTGAGTACTGGTACCAGCCGAATTTTTTGCAACCTTTCACGATAGGTGACATTGCTTCAGGTTCGCGAGCCTTGATAAATTAGTTTTGACAGGGAACCGCAACAGGATGTAACCACAAATACAACGAAGTTCTCTTGATTTGTGATGATTTGTGGACACTGGTCTGAATTGCGCAATGCAACCCAAAAAACAACATGGTGACTTTCCAGTTGATTCCGAGGATAATACCTGGTCCTGCAGCCTCCTAGGGGTATGGCCAGAACCTCCTCTCCAAGTTCCAGCATCGCACCGTGTATGGGCCTCCCATTGTCCTCCACCGCAATCGATCCCTCAGGAAGAAGCGCAAGGTGATGAAACCTTTGTCCAGAAAAATGTACCATTTGCTTCTGGGCAATGTAGATCGCAGTCGTTGAGACCATCATTTTTGACGAGTTCACTCACCGCAAGCGACGGGACCGCCCCGAAAGATTGGCTCCCAGTTTGGTCGTTATGGCTGAGAAAGTTCATGTATCGTTCCCGCTGTTTGGCGCACGTAGCAAAAATAGCTGCTTCAATGATTGCCCCCCAAAAAACTGGCCGAACAGGTTTTGGTTCACCCACACCCACGTGGAAATCAATCAATCAATCACAGTGTTACCACAATCTTCACCTTGACCGTCGGTTGGTGTTTCTCCAAGCTGCCAGGCGGGGGTGAAGTCTGTGGCGTTTCGTTGAAACCCGGACCGCTGGTTTGCAGTCCTTCAGTTTGACAGTCCGCACGATGGACAGCACTGCACCGCTATCCGCATGGATCGACCGATCGACCCCAACCAGGTTCAATTCTCAAGGCTTTGCAGATGCATATTCCTGTGCCTGAGATGCATATAGATTCAAGCCAGTTCTGTGTTGCATTTGACCGTTATATAACGATCCGGTAAAGATGATGCAACCCAGCAGAAGCGCTCCAAAATGATCCCAAGAGGCTGATTTGCTAAGCAAACACTTTTTATGTGCTGCCTGCTGTTCTTGATTGGGTACCCTCTTGAACTCATTGGTTTTCAAAGGTTCAGAGTACCGACTTGGAGTAACTTGAGACTTGGTGGGCGCTGTTTATAGCGTACAAACGCTGCACCTGCAGCCCTAAAGATCATGTCTTTGCATGAGCCCTTCATATTACATATCATCTTCCTTCAATATCATCTAGCATCTAGTAGTTGTTCCTCTACTTGAAGGATTGGGCTCCGCCGGGCTCCACCTCACGATCGATTCATTGGGATCGATCAAACCTTTGGTCAACAGCGGGATATCCTCGGCCAATAGCCTGCACCAGCCCCTGGCGGCTAAGGGTACCATATTTTTATCTCTATAGGGTCAATTCCCTTCTGACGAATATAGCAATATGTTCATAGTGTCTCCCAGTTCCAACGATTTCGTGTTCAAGTTCTATTCAACGATCAGCGAAATGTCGCATTTTTTTTAAACGTCTCGTTTCTCCAGGTGTGGACTTGACCAACGACCTCAGCGGTTCGGTGGCTGGGGAGCTCTACAAACTCAGCCAGGTGAAACGGCGCCAAGTGCCGCATGGTGACCTCGTCCGGAAGTGTGCCAATGATGGTGGCTTAGCCAGACAGAAGGCAGAAGCAGGTGGACTATGTGGTTGACTAATTAATGGTTGACTGTTGAACCAAAAATCCCTATATATATACCCTGTGGATCGAAAGTTGGTCCTATGCTACATCAGCAGCGGCTTTTGGCCGCTGCTGTTCCCGATGAAGTGCACTGGCACGCTTCATAGCACAGGCCACATGTAAAGCAGTTGAAAACAGTACATCTGGATATGTGTGTGTTGTGCAGTTTGCCACAAAGCGTTCAGAATTGAACGTCCAGGAACGTTATTTGAACAACGGCTGAATGACTTATTGCAGTAAACATTATAGGACCGAATAACCCCACATGTTAGCAACTTAGCAAGAGAGAATGTGTGCGTAGGTGGTTGGTGACAATTGGTTGGTGTGACAATTGATTGATGACAATTGGTTGAGGACGATGTTTTTTCTTTTTTGTAACAGGCCCTCAAAAATAATCCTTTCAGAAGGGCAGAGACCCACCAGCACCGTTGTTGTTGTTGTTGTTGGCCCATCTTGCGCCCATGTTGGCCTAGCTTGGCCCTATGTTGGCCCATCTTGGCTTTCTGGGGCCTATGTTGGGCCCCTCTTGGGCCTATGTTGGGCCATCTTGGGGCTATGTTAACCCATCTTGGACCTATCTTGGGGGCCTTTGTTGGCTCATCTTGGGGTACACTTTGTGCCATTTGCCTTGACACGGGCCCATCACTAAAAAAATCCGATTATGCACGTCCGCGCGGCGTGCAGTACCGACACCACCCTTGTAAAACCCACAGTTTTTGCATTTCGCCACTGTCCAAAATTTTGATCTTCCACGCCAACAAAGCCCTGTAAAGCACAGTGTTTTTGAACACCGCGCACGCAAGAGCGGCACAGCGGCGGAGACCCAGCAGCTCCAGCCAGCGCCAGGGCGTACATCCGACCCCCTGGAGAAGACAATCGGCAAGCAAATCATTTGTTGATGACAATTCGTTGGCGACAACTGGTGGATGGCAATTGGTTGATGACAATTGGTTGGCGACAATTGGTTGGTGGAAATTTGTTGTTAACAATTGGTTGTTGACAATTGGTTGGTGACAATTTGTTGGTGGCAACTTGTTGGTGACAATTTGTTGGTGAGAATTGGTGGCAGTTGGTGGGTAGCAATTGGTTGGTGACAATGGCTGGTTGATGACAATCGGTTGATGACAAGTAGCTGGTGACAAGCGGGAGGCGGGAGGAGGCGGAGGCACGAGCGGATACCACACCAAACCAAAAACCCCTCACGTCAATGTGGGGAACAAATCCTTAACATGGCCACAGCCTGTGATGAAGCAATGTTTCGATTTCGAACGAAGTTCCGAACGCAATCCCGGGAGAATGGTCTCAGGGCACCTTAAATCATTCCAAGTGGAATCCATCATGACAAGAAACCATGTCATGTCAAACACACGTATCATCCGACAATGATTGTGAGTTGTTAATACACTTCAGGTGCCTCATTTTGTGAACCCGCAATGTCTTCAAAATGTGGCAGCGTTAGAAATGACCTTGGATTGTGCATACATTTCTATTAATGTTCTATTTGTGGTCATGGATCCTCAACAATATATATATATAATATAGATGCATCCTGACTGGTAGGGCCGGAGGGTTATTCATAAACACGTCATTCATTAGGCTTATTGTAGGATTTGTCAGCGCAGTTGAGTGATGAGTTGAAAGAAAACAAACTACCCCTGAAGACGAAGAAGGTGTGTAAAGTTTGTGATGTGGTGATTTGGGGATTGTTCATGGATGATTTGAGGAATTCCACAGTTCTCACCCGCAATTTCTTTGATTGCTCACGCAGTCCTTGACGCCACATGGAGAGTTGGTGGGCCGAAGCAGTCCGCCGCGTGAGAGTTGTTACTTTCGGTTTCAGGTGGTCTTTGTCACTGTCAGGGCATTGCTTTCTATGGACGAAGGCCGCCGTGCACGTTTTTATACGTGTTTTCTGCGTGTCAGAAGCTGACTGCAAATTCTACTGCATTGAGATCAGTGTGTCGATTGGATTTGGAGTCCATAGTTGGACGAAACTTTGCAGACAAAAGGAACGATTTAGTAAGAAGTGAGATGTCATGATTGTAGCCAGGGTACTAGAGATAGAGTTCGCCAAGGAATGAGCAGAGTGTTCCTTCATCCGAAACTTCACTCCGTGCTGCGTCACGCGGGCCTTGTGTGCGAAACCGCTCGGAGGTTTGCCTGTAATGGGAGTGGCGAAACCAACCTGGAGACCATGATGCAAACACAGTATGAGGTTCAAGAAGTGTCATCCTCCATCAGATGCAATTCGCTTGCAAGAGATGGCAGAATCAGCTGGGCCAATTGTTTTGATCTTGTTGGAACTTGTTGGATATGTTCTGCGAAACGATTGCTGGACACAAACCTGAGTTAACGTGCGCAAAGCGACAGGTTTTCCCAAGTGCAAGCGTCGGGCATTCGAAGTGCAGCGCCGTGTTTATCCGTGGTTCCCTGGTTCGGGGTTTGCACCCTCCTTGGTCGTTTCCCACCCTCTTTGAGGAAGAGTTTAAGGAGGTTAAGGCCTTTTCAGCCAACATGTCCGGGTCATTGTAGATCGCATGACGGGATTGGCAGGATATATTGATGTGATATGCAATGTTATAGAACTGAAATGAACTGACCGAATTCATGTTAAGGTTGACCATGTTTCATGTTGTTCATCTCTCTCTCTCTTTGCGGGTGGTTTGTGTTATCTTTTAGTTGCTTCTCAGTGGGTGAAGGTTCTGTAGATGCAACCGTTTCTTCGGTTTTGCTTCACTTCGATGCGCCGAAGATGAACGAACCTGAAAACTACTGGGTTGGCATTCGGAAAACCCTGGGCTTTTCAAGCGTATCCTCTAGTGAGAGGTCAAGAAGGACGCTGCATAGCAGCCCTATCAGCCAGCCGGTCTGCACGAACTCGTGTCAATACCACTAGCAGTTTCCGCTTCCAATGAACCAAACTGGCTCAGAGGTCCAATCGAAACCATCGAAACCCTGGCACTCTGCCCAGCAAGCGGCGGCGACGCGTGACGAGTGACGCCGACGCTTTTTGTCCGTGATGAGGTGGAGAACATGACTTTGGAGGTGATCCACTGTTCCTCGGTGACAATGGGGGTCCCACGATCCTTTTTGTTGAGGAAAAGAGATGCACAGTAGTTTGGAAGATCATGGAGTCCACCCCAAAACTGGCCATGTCCAGAAAATAAGGGTCATTCAGCAATCATGAGGTCCTCGAAGATTTGCTTTTTCTCGTGGGGCACTGCAAGAGGGAGTGATTTTCTGTGTCAGTGGCTCACTTGGAATGGATGAATATTGTTTGATAGACCAGGACCATGCTGGGAAGTTTGACAAGTTGTGTGGAGAGTAAACACCGTGAGACTGTGAGTGTACTGTAAGTCATTCAGGTGTCAGGATGATCGAACAGATGTTTGAGGCAGACCTGTTTCCTGGGAAGATAGACCCAAATTGAGGAGGTCAACGATGCATGATTCGGGACGCGTTTGTGCACCAGATCACGCAACATGTGTTGACCAACAGTCCCCCGCGCGCGGCGGAAGTCGAAGATCCCTTCCCCTATGCTAGCTTTTCTTTTGCTGAAGTGCTCGACCGTGGAAGTTCTGTATTCAATCTCTACTACAATATACTACAATTATCAAGTCGTGTATCTAGTGTTTATACAGACTGCTTTCCAGACACACTTCAGTAGGTACACTGGGTAGACACAGTTCTGTTTTCAACACAGGTGTAGTTTCCGCTTCAAAACCTTTTGTATCAGACTCCGCTTCAAAACTAGCGGCCCTTAATTGCCAAACACCAATCGAATTCGTGCATGTGTGCTAGAATTGCTGATGAGTGTGCAACTCCCCAGAGGTCAGAGGGGCCCAGGGCCCATTAAATTTATAAAATCCAATCCGCGGTCGAATCCTCCCATCCTCCCATCCTCAGGTATGGCGTCTCGAAGCACTGCTTCTGTGCAGACAGACCCTGACCGCTTCCGACCGCTTCCGGCCGATTCCGCGCACACCGCGGAACAAAGAGCGGAGCGAGCTCCGTGTGGAGCTGAGCTGCGGCGATGGTGAAAGAAAGACCCATATATATATGCTGCGGATGTGTGGTATTTCCTGTTGGGACCGGAGAATGATTTGCCACCAGTGGTGGCTTCTTCCATGGTGAAGGGTGGTTGTATAGGTCCAGTATACGTCTCTTAGGTCTTTGTAAAAACGAGTGTCTACTGCTATACCTTCAGGATCCAGAGATGCCAAAGGATGGCAACATGACTGGCACAAGCGACCGAGGGACCAGATGATCATCATGGAAGATTTATGTGTTCTAGAGTGTTTGTTGGCCGCGAAAACATTCGCATACGAAAAAGACCATGCAAAAGGGAGTCATGGACTACTCTACACAACTTCGCGATCGTGGAGATTTTCCCACCCCAAAACATGGACAAACAGGCGTGGTTTGAATTCAATAACTTGCCAGGTCCCATAGAATCCCATACATGTCGTGTTCCAAATTCCAAACACATGGTGAATCTGGAAAGGCCTAGGAGATCCCTGGAGAAGTCCACCGTTTTTCAGCAAACTCCCCCATGTGTAGACTCGGAGAGGTTAGTCGGATTGGAGGTCAGACCCACTGGCCGAGGTGGAACGTGTGGTCCAGAGGACCTTCTTTTGGTTTCCGTTTGATACACCTATATAGGATCATATGGGATCATATGGGATCTATTCTATACATTAATGATTCTCCAAATTGGAAGATTGTACAGGAGGAGAGGTCCAACCCAGTTGCTGTGATAGCGGTTGGATTGCGTCCTCTCACCAAAGACTCGGCTTTGTTCAACGCTTACGTGTCGGATGGAATCGTTTCACGTCTCCAGGAGCTTACGTTCGAAGAGTTCTTGAACGTGATTATGTCCTTGCGAGGCTCCAATGCCGTGACCTTGAAGGCACGGGCGGCAAGGATATGTGTCTTGTTCCGGACTCCAGATGTAAAGCTCGGGCCGAAGACGCACCTTTTTGGGGGGTGAAAAGAAAAGAGCGTTCGACCACGGTACAGCCAGTATCTTGGGGGCTGACGAATCTTGCTTGTGATTTTACATTTAGTGTTTTTTGTTTGAGGTATTTGTTCAAGGGGGTGATTCTTTTGGGTTCAAGAACTGTAGTTGCTCTTGCTTGATCCCTGATCATTCCAGCGGTTTTTCATCATTCCTCCCCACATATCGCACGTGTATTCCCCTGTCATAGGACTTGGAACCACATGGACACGCTGGATCATGATATCTTGGGCTCACCAACCGCCTTTGACCCCCAGGAATTTTGATGTTATCATATGTTATCCAACGCAAGAAACTCGGGTGAAACACTCACGCTGGAGCGCCTGGATGGACATCCCACAAGTCGCCGCCCGCCTTGGTCCAGATCAGGACATCATGGATCTTCGTCGAACGCCGCGTGCTGAGCATGAGGGAGGGGGTGAAAATCGATGAGCATCGGGCTCCAGCAGCTAGAAGGATGACCTCGCGAACCCAATTGAAGTGTCAGGACCATACAAGGGCTTTACGGATGTACGTGCATCAAATTACATGTTAGTTTCCATTTGACACCTTTGGGAGGCATCCAGGTAGGTATCTGCAAATAGTCCCTACTAAGTTACCTACTACCATATGTATTATAAAACGCTGGGACATGTCCTGCAATTCTGTTACCCGTAGTTGCCCTTAATTAGACTATAGACTATAGACATCTAAAACTGCATTGCCCCTTGAACTTTAACATATTTTTTGGAAATTGTATTCATCAATAATATGCTCGCTGGGAAGAAAGACCGAGCAGCTCTCCCCAGAGGCCCCCAAATTCGGGCACCCCGTGTTTTTCATTATTTTTGTTGCCATCATATAGGGATCCCATTTTCAAGACACCAGGTGCGTTCAGACCATTGTTTCTGCAAACCTGCCGCACCAGGTGAATTAGCTCTACGAAGAAGACTGAGGATCTCAGTGCGAACGGGGTTCGCGGTCTCCGTTCGCGGTCACGTCGTCCTACCCGACGAAGATCACGTCGTCCCGCAGGTTACATCGAAACCAGACGGAGCTTCGAAGTGTCATCAGCGAGCTGGAGGACAGCGGCTGCTGTCTGAGTGGTGCGAGGTCCCCAAAGAGATAGTGGCATGCACGCATGGTTTGCCTATACATTCTTAGTGGAGATCTATTGAGCATGGTCTATACAAAGGGACACAAAGTTACTACTGTTTAGTGGGGATCCACTTTCTATCTATATCTATATTTGGTTGGTCTATTTTAAGGATCTATCTCTTGAGCAGTAGAGTTGCACAGCGGTTCCGCCCGTGTTTTCTAGCTTGGAGGTTTGCTCGTTGTCATCATGCTATTCGTTTTTGCTGGCAAGGTGAGTCCTGGCCGCGATCTCATATCAAGACAATGTAATTGCTTAATCCCTGTCTCTCAGGCGGTGCAAGATCTTCTCAACACGTCTCAACCAACAAGTGTTTCTTTTTCATGGTATGCGTGTGTGTGTGTGTGTGTGTGTGTGTGTCACCCCCTGTACCAAAGGGTCCAATGCCACCGTTTC